GTGATAAAAAAAAAAGTTTTTTTTTGATCTTATTGGGCGGGTCATTCGGGGGGTGGGGGCCTGGTTTTTAAAAAAAAAACTCGCCCCAGTCTTTGTGTTCCTTAAAAAGGGAGGTTTTAATTAGTTCCGCCTCGGGGGGGGGGCCCCCCGGGGGGGAAAAAAAAAAAAAAAGGGTTTAATAGGGGGGGGGGGGGGGGTATGCAAAACCGTTGGTGGAAAGGGTTTTTGGGGGTGGGGGGGGGGGGCAAAAACGGTTGGTTGAAGGGATACTACGTCGTAAGAGGGCCAGGAGAGGTGCATGTGGCGTCATACGCTCCTCAGCTTCCCGCCCTGGGACCTTGTCGTCATCACTGTCAAGGTTAAGGTTTAATAATCAAGGAGTACTGCTGAGTGAAACTGGACGGCGTTATTCTCAGTTTTACAAGGAAAGAACTTGCGATGCGGAAGATATACTGCCGGGCGACGATCATGCCGCACTACAGATGCGGCAACTTTTTCGGCAGCTGGCCATTAACCACACACCAGCGAGCAGCTCAGGAAGTGAGATCACGCATACGGATTTAGGCAGCGACATGGGAGAAAACTTAACAAGCATCCCGCCAGGCAGAGCATGACATCGGCAACTACCTACAAGTACAAGTAGGGGCAAAGTGCCGTTATGCGCCCGCCTAAAACACCAGCACTATGTACTAGACCGGGCGACCGGCACTCTTTCCATTTTTTCCAAGAACCAGAGTACGAAACAACTTCAATTGGTGATTCCGTCTGGTCGGGGAGAAGGAAGGAAACATTCCAAGGCGATTCGCCGTGTGTTGCGTGACCCTCTGCAGGGTGATACACGCAGAAGGTGCGTTGTGGGAGACTCCGTGTACAGCAGTGTACAGGAGTATAATCCCGCAACAGCGGCCATCCCCCGCAGCGCGAAACCTTGTGTAGAACCCAGTTGCAGAGTATGCTTGGAGACAACCGACAGAGTGGGACACACACACAACTTGAAATAGTGTAACTGCTGTATACTGCGGCAGAGACGCTTTGATATGATCACGGAAGGAGAATGTTTCTGTTGTCAAAGTACTGGAGCGGCGTGCCGTCAACCGCAGTAGGTAGGGCGGCGCGCAGGCGGCGTTTTCTAGGTGGAAATTCAAATTTGGAACATAAACACTTGGAGTTAGAGAGGCATGTTCGGGTTCTCAACGGGCAGCGGAAAGGAACGATGCCAGGGTTCAACTACTGGTGAGGGTCAAGAAGGCTGCTCTCCAGAGCACATGGACAGCAGCATGCGTTCATGAACCTGCTCGCTCTATGTATGCAGTCGTCCTAAAGCTGTGTGTTCCTTCTCCGTTCGAAGAACAAACCAAAGATGGGCCGCAACATGCCCACTTTCGCCCCCCACACACACCACCACGGGGCCCACAACCAGTAGTCTCGCAACGCACACTCCCACCCTATCTCTGCTTGCACCATGCCGCCGCACCTGCTCGACGGGAGCGCAGCCTAGTGCAAGACCGTTGCCCGAGAGCGTCGCCGGTCTTCCCGACGATTGCTGCAGGATGACCTCCGCTCCCTTCAGGGTCTCGCTCAGGGTGGGCGAGTTCTTGGAAGCTCCGCCCAGCTCTACCTCTGCGTTGCCGCCGCCACTAGACCCGCCAAGTACCGCCCGCATTAGGCTTTCACAGCAGCCCATCTTCTGGCCGTGTCTCGCTAACCTAGAGTCGCTGGTGTGCAGCAGTAGAGTGCTGGACGTCTGTCTGGACATGAAACATCTCGCCATTGGGGGGGATACGTGTGAGGAAAACGAGTGTCCATGCGGGGGGGCATGGGTCATGGCATCACACACCGTATCTCACTGGATATGATATCATTTTGACACCTGGATATGATATCAGAATGTGTATGGGGCAAGCGAGCAGCACACACCCCATACACATTCTGCAACAGCAATTCGGACTTAAACCGGACAACGTAGTTGTCACATACCACAAGGCCCTACTTCCCTGATCTCCGACTAGACCTGCGACTAGACCTGCGGCACATTTACTGGGTATGGGCCAATCATTAGATCCTTTTCGCCATTGTTCAAAGACATACTCGACCGCCCATGAAGTGTTAAAGAGGCAGAAGAAGACAGTTGCTGTGGAAGAGGTCGTTGTGCGACGGCACACAAACACACAGGGTTAATGCATATGGACGTCCGATGTATGAAATGAAACGTGTCGGAAGTGTATGCAGCAGCCGTTACACATGATTACATGCCACTCATTAGAGAGGGTGAACAACCCATCCGTCGACCCAAGCACCATTGATCGTGCGGGCACGAAGAGGCTTACGGCCTGCCTCGTGACATGACGGCACAGATGGACATCAAGGGCACCGCCTTATGAATCCACGAGGTCCCCCGCCCCCCACCCCCAGCCTTTTGCGTCTTAACCCCTTTAGGGCTGGATCGCCTTTTGTGGACACTTTTTGTCCCCATCTTCTTCACCTGCTTTACCTCGCGAAGAATGGCATGATTGTCTTCTCCTTTGCACTACTCGACCAGGGGGGTGCCGGGGTACACAGGGACGACTCTATTCTAGTATGAATGCTTTGTAGAGTGGAGGAGTATGAGGGTAATGAACAAGTCGAATTGCGGGGCGATTGCGCCGCGGGTTCAACAGCGAAATAATTGCGCCGCGTCTGTCTACCCTTGGGTGGAAATCGCTACTAGGGGCAAGCGCGGAAGAAGTACCTAGCCCACCGTTGATAGAAGGCACCGAGCAACCTAGGGCTTGGGTTAGAAGGTCTCACTTTCCCTCTAGAGAAATATCTTGAAAACCTCCTTTTCGTGCCCCGTTTCCCACGCTCCCGCCAGTTGCTGTCTATAATCCCTATCAAATGTCCCCTCGTATGTCCCCTCGTAACGAGGGGACATTTGATAGGGATTATAGACAAGAGACGGCTCAAGTGGGAAGGCAGCTTTGCACTTGCACCCAGGGATGGAACTGTCTGCACCATCCAATCAGCAGGCGTCGTTCGCTCTTTTTCTTACATTTCAGAAATTTCGCAAGAACGACGAATTTATTTTCTGTGCGTGGTAAGGGACGCTCTTCACAACTGCGTCGTGCAGCAGAGCAAGTTCATGATGCCGCACTGAACCTTTCACACCCCGTACAACTTTAACTAATAGTCTAACTAACTAAGTTAGTTGTTTGCCAGACAACTACCGGCTAGTTGTTCGTAAACAACTAGTTGCGCACGCTCCTGGAAGAGTAGTTGTCTGCAGGCAACTAGGTGCGCACGATTCTGGATGAGTAGTTGGCTGCAGGCAACTAGGTGCATACGATTCTGGAAGAAGAGTAGTTGTCTGCAGGCATCTAGGTGCACACGCTCCTGGAAAATATTTGTCGGGCAAACAATACCAACTAAAGTAGTTGTACAGGGTGAACCTTTTGAGAAACTCGTTTAGGCGGGGCAGATTCATTATGCTGCTCTCGCACATTCTTGAGTAACTCGTTTTCCGAGAGAGAACGAAGCCACCAAAATGGACGCGGAAGGAGAATGTGTTTGGTTTGGGGTGCCACCACTTTGGCTTCGGGAGTTGAAATTACCAACACATAAGTAAACAGACCTTTCGACCGCCCCGTCCGCTTCACTCGCGCACGATACACGCATCGAAGCAAACCAGCCCCTATTCCACACTACTGCTGCCTATTCCTAAAAAGTGGACTCCGCCGCCTCAAGACGCGAGCGAAGCACAACTGACTAAACCATTCACGTGTGCGGTGTAGACTATGGAAAAACGGCACCGGCCTAGCCCTGCTCAGAAAGGCGACAAAAACGAGGCCGCGGGAACCCGACCCCCCCTCAACGTCAGCAAAGGCGCGCTTGTTCTCTATTCCCGTCGAGAGGGTCGTCACATGGTCAGCACCACTACAGAGAATAACCGGGAGACATTACTCCGAACCAAAAATAAACGCTTGTACGCGCCCGCCCGCAAATAATGCATCATGCCAACTCTTCTTGCCGACAAAGTGAACACGCACGATCAACCCAGAGAACCTAGACATATCACCGTACGCCAATAACAAAACAGGATCTGAGAATCTGTCGGCGCGGAGTAGTGCAGGAGGCTTCGTTAGCCACGTCGGTTCTCCGCACTACATCTGTGCACTAATGTGTGCCGCAGTTATCCCAGCCACGAGCCGTGCCAGTGGAGCCATTGCTTCAGCAGAGAGGGGTGCACAAAGACAAGCCACCCCGCTGTTCCCAACATTGCAAAAATCGTCTCCGCTATTAGTAGCGCTCAACAGGTGGAACCCATCGATCACCCCCCCTCACCCGGAACAGCGAGAGAACGATCCATCACTGTCAGCTCCTGCTCTTGCCGCTAATCATACTGGCAATGGCTAGAGGGGCACAACGGAAGTGACTAACTACCTAACCTACACAGGTGTTGCTTCACCGGAGGTACAGCTAACTGTTCGCCCCCCCCCCCCCTTCCCCCACATGGCTACCAGGGGTTTCAAACACCTTGGGAGGCTCACAAAACCGCGGGAGCGGTCTGCTCATTTTTCTTGCACCCGTCCGACGACAACACACACAACCTGGGAAACAAAAGAAAAGAACAAATACAAAATGCGCGTCCGAGAGGGGAGGTCGCTTACTCTTACTCCTCTTCCTTTGCGTCGCCCGATACGAGGTCCGACGCCCCCGCCTGCTTGGCCGCGGCGCGCCTGGAGTACCACGCCTCCAACTGCTTCTTGGTGATCTTCTTGAGGAGCTCCTTGGGGAAGGACCGCAGGAGCGACCACGCCAGGTCGAGCGACTCGAAGATGGAACGTGCCTGGTTCCCGGTTAGGTAGGGATGGGTGGGGGGTTGTTGTTTGTGCTGTGTGTGGTGTGAGGCCGTCTTCGCTTTTGCTTTAGTAGTCTTTACTTCAAATCCGCGAGCACAGCGCTTGTGCCGTTTACTCCAACCCGTGGTCACACAGAAGGGTTCCTCTCCGGGCCCCCTACTCGCCCTTCCTGCGGCATTTTGCCTTCGGTTCTTAATGTAACTTGATGTGACTTCGCGGGATATTTAGCATTTCACCATGTAGCGGAGGACTCCAGATATATCTGTACCATGGTAGTTGATTTCTGTTGACTTGCGGACCCCTCGGGGCCAGTTTATTTGAGTGTACCTTCTTAGGGTAAGTTAGCCTGTGACCACGGGAATCGACCGCGTCAAGTGTTGGATCAGTACGGACATATGAAGGTACTGGGTAGAGAGAGATCGGAACGGTTTTTAATGTGAAGACAACAACAACAACAACAACAACAACAACAACATGTTTGCGGGGTATGGTAACCCTATCCCTACTAACGCTAGTGGTGGTGCGTGTGTGTGTGTTTGCGTACCTGCCGAGAGAATGACGGTCAACGGTTTCACGCCATGTTTAGAAAACACACGATACACAACTTTTTTCAACAGAGACTATGTAGACACCGGTCGACCAAATACTCGGTTGGAAAGGTTCATGTGTTGGAAGTCTTCACGGTGAGGGTGGAGAGAAAAACCTTCTGGATAGCGGACATATTCGAAGACTATTCTACGGCAAAACACACTGAAGCCACAAAGAAAAACCTACGCATAGTAGACATGCTTGAGTCTCTGTTTTTATCCAATCACGACGCTGAGAGCAAAAATATGTACATTGTTGTCGCCAGGCATCTGGATTGTAAACATGCTTAAGTCTCTGTTTCAGCCAAACACGACGCTGAGAAAGCAAAAACAAAAAGTGTTGGCGCTCTTCTGATTGAGAAAGTATTGCAGTCCCCGATTAAGCCAAACAAGCTGACAAAGAAAAAAAAAAAAACGCGCGGCATTCTGGATTCTGGGCATACTGCAGTTTCTGTTTTGAGACAAATGCGACGCTGAGAAAGCAAAAAAAAAAATCCGCGACATTCCGTATTGTGTACATGGGCATACAGTACCTGGTAGGGTCCCTGGGAAACGAACTTGGCCTCGAACTTCTCGACGAAGTTGAGGAAAAGGTGGTCCTCCAGGCTGAGGGCCTCCTCGCCCACAACTGCCTTCATCGCCATCACGTCCTTGCCCTACGTCGCCGTCGCGTGGTGGCAAGCGACAGCATCGAGGGAGGGGGGGGGGGGGGGGCCCCCCCCCGAAAAAAAAAAAACCCCCCCAGGGGGGGGAGGGGGAAAACCAAAAAAAGGGGTTCAGGGTTTACCTCGAACCCCCAAAATTTAAAGAAAAAAC